CGCCGACATGCCTCGGACTTCGCAAATAGACTTCAGCAGGCCGCGACGGGCATAATCGAGAGTGGCGGCAGTATCCTGCATCGTTCCGACCAACGTTCCGATGATGGAAAGGTTCTTGAAAGCGAAGATGTTGGGGTCCGTGCCTAAAACGATGGTGCCTGCGGGCGGGAGAGCGATGCACATGATCTTGCCGCCGATGCGGTCGCCGATGAAGTTGATGCTGTCTGCAACAATAGTCAGTTGAGAGTAACATTGACATCCCACAGCCCGCCGCAGCATTCTCATGCCCATGCCATCGGCTTGGTGATCATAACAGAGCGAAGACACGCAGGGAGAGAGGTATTCATCTCACTCACCCTTGTATGACTGGTATGCCGTGACCAGCACTCCGTGAGCTCCAACACCATCCGCAATCTCCTTAATGCGCGCTGCGACATCGCTATGCTCCTTGAAGTCGACAAACTCCTCGGCACCCATCTTCAGGCACAGGTCTTTCTTAGCGCTTCCAGAGTCGACCGCGATGGCTCGCATCCCCATGGCTCTGTACGCACATCAGCATCGAGCACGAACTGCGGCATGCGACAGTACTCACTTCGCAAGCTGCACACCCTGGATACCGACACCACCACCGCCGCCAGGAAAGACAACCCAGTTACCAGGCTTTAGGTTGGACTCGATCAACGCCCTGTGCATGGTCGACGCAGAGCACATGATTGGTCCAGCCACCTCATCTGGCACTCCGTCTGGGATCCTGCTGGTGTATTTTGCTGGGCTGGTAATATACTGGCAGTACGTGCCTTGGGCGACTAGACCTATAGGTGATGGTCGTAAGAGTCAGCCGGTGTCTTAAACAGTTGAAATCGCTTGGTCTCGCTGCAAGACATCTCTCTCCCGAGAACATTGCTGGTCAAGCTATAACCGATGGCCGCAGCTCGCAGGCATTCGGCGCCTTCGAGACGATGTCTTGCATGCATCCAAGACTTATACCCATCGTTTTACTGACCTGTGTATACACCCTTCTGGCAGTAGTTTTCTCGGCCGTTCCAGCACTCCTGGCAGTTGTGGCAGACATCCCAGAGCGGCTTTACACCTCCACGGTCTCCAACTTTCCAATCTCTGCGATAGAATTAGGAGGAGCTTCTTTGAGTCGATTGTTCATCTTCTGGTCTTTTCCCACTCAGGGGGAAGATAGTATGGGGACTGTATGAGCCACATGGGAAAGGCAGGATAATACGTACTGCCGCACAGTCAGCAAAGGTTGGCTCTTTGTTTATGGTACTGTTGTTCTTAGAGCTTACCGTGACCTTCGACCCGACCTTGACGACGACACCGGCACCCTCGTGGCCTGCGCAAGTGGTTCCGAAGTGGGACATGGGAGGGACGGCCCAGTCATTCATCATGAAGCTGCAAGAGTCTCGGGTTAGCTCATGAGGTACCGTGGATGCGTGCGTCTGTCTCTAGATGGAGGAACTCGTGAAGATGAAGGTCGGCACAGGAAGCAGCTTAAGATTGTACATACTGCCTGAGAGTCAGCAGATGCCTTCGAGACGAACGCGTCCTCGGTACTTACCTGGACGTCGGACATGCAAAGGCCTGTGGCATTGAGGCGAAGGAGCACCTCATCGTCCTCTTGGACTTGGTCAGAACTGTATCGCTCACAGCGTCTCGAGGAACATACTGGGCTCTGGGACATCCACTTCTTGAACCTCGACTCTGAACTCCGGTCCCTCGTTGACGACCACGGCGGCCTTGCCTTTCTTTGGGATCTCTTCAGACATGTTTGATTCTGGTTATTTCGTGATATGGAAGGAGGAATGGGATTGGGATGCGAAGAGGCGTTGGTACAGAAAATAAGGTACAGACCTGCCAGCAAGCTATATACGAACACAGGAACTCTACCGCGGCCCTCGACAGGGACCTGAGACGAGCCTTTGAACCGTCACACTCTCCATCCCTCGGTGATGGCGGGGTCACGCGTATGGACGCGAAGGAGAGGCGGGGTATGGCCAACAACGGTTCGACCTAGCAAGCTCAATCCACCAGCGGCGGATTGTACGCGGCGATCGCTCGCGGATGCGAGTAGTGCTGCCCGGTCGGAGCTGGCTCTGAAGCCGGGACACCTGCCCTCAGGGTCGAAGAGGAGTCAAGTGCGGTCTTCTTCCGCCAGGCGACAGCGCCGCTGATGTCGAGGGAGGAAAGGAGTGAGGATCGAGGAGTGGCATGACCGCATGAGGGGCATTTCATTTTCATACTCCACGATTGACATTCTGCCCCTCTCATGCTCGAGTCATGTAGCATTGGCAACTCCACCACAGACTTGGCCATAAAACCTTCGTGATGCATCTCCAGGATAGCGAGAAGAGTTCGCGATCGGGGAATGGTCATGCGGACCGGCAATGGCGTTGTGCAATAGTTGGTACAATAATCTACAAATCTTACATCTATCAGTACAGCGCTCCAGCGAACCTGAAGCGAGAAGCGCGTTCGGGAGCGTAGAATGCTCATACCACACACTTCCACGCGGTCTTTTGCAGGGCTTCGTTATGCCTGTAGATAGACAACCCCAGGAAGTATCCGGCGCGTCCGGTCGGGCATTGATCCATTCGCATTCGCATCTCTCACACAAATGTCAGAGCAGAGATCAATTTCCAGACATCCTGCCTGACGCTCAGCTCTCATCTTCAGCCTTCTTGATTGTCTCCGTGCCTGCGGCGAATCTCTTCGCCCTTTCCTCATCGTCCGCTGAAATTTCAAACTTCCTCATCCTTCCCGCTATTCGCTCGTCCAACACCATATCATCAATCCACACACTCTCCTCGTGCTCCAACCGTGGTTTCCGTACTGTCTTCCACCATTCCCGCTCCTCGTGAGCCAACACCTGAGTCTGTTCAGGCACCATAGTGCTGCTACTTGGTCCCGAATCTGTTGCTGACGCTGTATCAGCATCAGCGGGCACGACTGAGTAGCTCCTGTGTGCTGAGGCGAGCACAGCAGCTGCTACGTCTCGGCCGATGGTGTCTGCGAGTCGACGACGGGTGAGGAAGCGATAGATGCGGATGGGCGTGTTGCGGATGCCGAGGATGTGTGGCTGAGGTATTACTACGCTGGGTCCGAGTATTTCTGGGATGGACGGTGAGAGCGTTGCGGTGGAGTAGGCGGCGGGTAGGATATACGGAGGTGGTTGGCGCGGTTTGGGCGTTTCCTCTTCTTTGGGAGTCTCTTCGACTGGCGGCAGCTCGGGTGTGGTTGGAGAATTGCTGTCACTTTCTGTAGTTGTGTCGGGTGTGGATGTAGACGTGTTCGCTGCTATGACCTCCGCAGCGCCGTTCAGTGCCGCATCGCTGACAGATGCCTGTCCAGGTGTATGTTTCGCTTCGTCTGGCTCTTCGCTCTTAGGTATTTCTACCGCATGTGGATCATCGACCGGCCCTAGCCAACCCTCGTGCAAACCCTTCACATACTCCTTCCACGTGTGTCTGCCAACCACCAAGTCTCCTCCCACACCTGGATACTCGCCCGTCCCCGTCTTGTCACGTACCGTCTCAACCGCATACTCCTTCGCTGCCTCGTCCTCATCCATAGCCGCACCCTCACCTCTCCGTCTCCGCTTCTTCCTCGTCTTTTCCGCCGTCTTGTGCCTGACATCACCCTCCTTTCTGCCCTCTATCACATCCCAATCCGTTGCGCCTGCGACCAATACAGGCTTGATGTACTGGTGGAAGTGCTCGCGCGCGCTCCGTAGACCATCTCCAGGAGGCGCAGAAAGGTAGATGGTGAGTTTGCGCGGCATGTTCTTCGTGTCGAGCGGTTCGTCTGCGAGGTGCCGGACCACATCGCACCATTTCTGCTTCGTGAGGCGGGTCTGGTATTTGTCGTATGCGATTGCGGACGCTATGGAACCGGAGAGCGAGAGGAAGATCATCCAGTTGCGGGAAGGGAGGCGCAGTCGAGGTAGGCCTGATTACAATACATCAGCACAGCTCTACGTATCATGAAGTATGTACTACTGACCCATCATCCGAAAGGCTGGGTTGTCCACCACGGGCTTCTTCGGCGCCGTGGCGGACGTGTTGACGCCGGTGCCATTGCTGCTTGGGACGGCCGAGGCGCCAGCGCCTGCTGCTGCGTTCTCGGCGGGAGGTGTAACTTTAGGGTCAGACATGTGAAAGACTGAGCTCTCCTGGACGAGAGCTGCCGCCAAAATGTTTCGTCTCACTCCCGCGGCGAATTCGACCTCACTTCACTCTGCCTGCATCCTTTCTCCAACAACCATATCTCTTCAGACGGCCAAGGCGTCGTAACTACTTTGCTCTATGTAGTAGTTTTTCTCAGCTCTGCTTATCCTGACGTGCGTCGTCGATGATCCTGATCAGCCCTCCATCGAGACTTCATCGAGGCTTCTGGTGATGGCATCCCGTGTCACGCCTGTCCACCACAAGGTCGAGACTGCACGACTCGTCAGACCAACCCGACTCACTGCAGCTGCAACTAATTCCGATCAAGAACGACGACATGACCTCTGCGACAATCCCCCAGACACCAACATTGAGCGGTGAAGCAGGCACCCGATCTCAACCAACAATATCACGCGGCAGAACCTCGGCCTTCACTTGACAGCGTTATGAGTTATGATCACTCCAATCAGCTCATTCAACACAAGTCAGGAACCTTGGTAAACTGGTATTACAATTGCGAACTAAGCGGTTCACTCCGGTGAATGCGGTCACTTCGCCCAGCGCGTATATTGGTTCTAGCAATAGGACGAGGTTCAATTCCTCGAGGATCCACACATTCATTCTTTTTGCATTTTTGGCCTTTGCTTTTTGGACTTTTGTCAACGCAATCACGATGGCGACGCCTCCTCCCATTGCTCGACCCAGTACTTATGTCTATGGCTAACAGTACTCAGCGCTGGCTGTCTTAGATGTCGGCACATACTCGGGCTTCACTTGCGACTTGATCAAGCGAGATCACCTCATCAAGCATATCAAGCACAATCGGGTTCTTTGGTCCAGTGGTTAGGACAATTGCAACATGAGCTAAGCGGTCCTCTGGATGCGGTTCTGCCGCCTAGCGCGTATATTGGTTCTTCGAGCAGTTGGCCCGGGTTCGACCCCCGGAAGATCCACGAACATACTCTTTTTGCAATTCTTTGCCGTTATCGATGTTGACATGCGGTCACCAACAACGACGAATTCGATGCGCTTTTCGACTTCAGCGATTTCTTGCTAACAGTAGCCTGCGTGCTGATCCGGTCGGCTCTAGGTTGAGGCGCTGCTCCCTTTCGAGGTATTTCTTGTCGCGTCTCTCTTCATGCGCATTCCATCTTTGTTTAGATACAGCCACTGGGGATGCCTTTGCAAGACAAACACAACACAAATGGCATCCGGGCCAAATTCGAATCTTCGCGAAGAAGCTCATACAACCAAAGCACACAACTGTACATACATATAACAGGGTGTCCACAGCTGCCATGCTCATTTCGTGTAAGCACCCCGTCCAGCATGGCTCCGAACTACAAAAAAAGAGCACGGCTCGCAGCAGCAGCACAGAAGAGAGCGGAACTGGTCGCCAGCGTTCGCGACTTCAAGCCAGAACAGAAAGAAGACCCATCGAAGCTGTCGATCTTACTCGATCTTCCACCTGAGCTGCTCGCATGCATCTACGACATCATCTTGGCACAAGGTGGAGGTGTGCGTTTGCCTCGCAAGACTTCATCTCATCGAGACCTGGTCGTACCCTCTACGATGTTGCTTTTGAACAAGCAGGTGTACGATGAGTTCATGCACGGTACGTGACTGTCACCGCCTTCTTACAGTTCGCAAGCGGAAGCTAACACGATTTTCGCGCCACAGCTGCCTGGGTTCTCGCCGACATCCACACCAAGGTAGCCAACTACGACTTCCGCCACATCGTTACATTCATGAACAAGCTGTCCGATGAGGAGGTTCGACGCCTACCCAACATCAAGCTGCCTCAACAGCGCAGTGTCATCATTACGCTAGATGTGGACTGGTGGGCAGGGCTGCTGCACGGAGATCTCGAGCTCCTACGACGCTGGTTAAACCGTGCTAAAAGTTCAACTAAGAAAGGCACGGAGGTGAAATATGGATACCGCCTGGCACACGCAGGGTTTACTGATCCGAGAGCGGCTGAGTGGGAACGTCAAGCGAATCTGATGCCTGAGGGTAGGAAGAAGGAGGAGCTGATGAAGATCGTTGATGCTTTGCATGGGCGTGCAAGTGCTTCGTGAGCGTAACAATTATGTTTTCCCTTGCAACTGTCCTCATATGGCATGGTTTTTTGATCCTGGTAGACTCGTCATACACGATATAAGCGCACCAAGCTACGCAGAGACCAAGTATCGAGGCGCAAACATTGGCCTGACGAGCACCGAAGGTCGTTGTGAATGACTGCATATACAAGGTGATACCCGGGCATTCACAATCCTTATACGCTGATTCACTTCAACAGTTTCTACGTCATCACGAAACATATATCTTCCTTTCGATAGAAAGCCCACGCATCGACAACGAACACAGCTCTCGTTCACCTCTTCTACAGATCCCACAAACAAACGTACGCCGCCCATACAACATGAACATGATTATAGGCATGAGGCGGAAGCGCGAACCACTCCCACCGAGTACGATCCACATCTTCGAGACGCAACTCAAACGCAAAGCCCAAAAGCTCTTCCTATTGCTTGACTTACCAGCCGAATTACGCAACAACGTGTATGCGCAGGTGTTTGCGACGACTGGCGGAGTCCATCTTTCATGCAAATGCCACCGTCGAGCTCTCGCTTCGAGCTCGCGTCTCACCCGCGTAAACAAGCAGGTCCACGACGAGTTCACATCAGCAGCTTGGGCTCTGGCCGACATCACCACTCAAGCACCCGATCTCGATTTCCGCCACATCGTCGCCTTCTTGAATCGACTTTCGGATGCGGAGCTGTTTGCGATGCCCACCAATGATCATCTGGTGCAGCGCAAGATGATGATTGAGTGATCACGGAGCAGTACAACGTCAAATTACTGAGGCGCTGGCTCAACAGGATAGGGAACCCGGAGAAGAAAGGCACAGATCTTGTGTATGGGTACAAGCTTTGCAGTTCGAGCTTGAAGATGGATGTGGAGCAGGCGTTGCAGGCGTTCGAGTATCGACCAGGGATGGCGTTGGAGGGAAGGGGCAGGAAGGAATATGAGAAGATCTGTGCTGCTGCGTACTAAAGTTCTGCGAGGCAGGACGCGGTAATGGAGCGCCGCGGCTACCGTGTGATCTCAGCACGGACGTGGGCCTATGGGACGAATCGTGGTGTGAAGGAGGGCATGGTGCTGAGCGCTTAACTGAAACAGCAATATGCAGAATCACCTAGAAGTAAAGGGCTGGCTTTGCAAGATTGTAAAGACGACCCCATGGCTTCCAAAGGTTCCGTGTATGTCTCACTCTTCCCTGGCTCCGGCGTATGCTCATGCATATTGCCTGCGTTTTGCATGTGACAGTGCGGGACCGCCCGTGAATTAGTGCGCATAGCTGGTGGCAAACGGACGACTTGAACCTCACTAACAACACAGCTCAGTGCATATACTTTCACCATCTGACTGCGTCGAGTGAACGTCACTTCGTCACAGATCGCCTCACAACGTGAAACAGTTTGCTTTCAGCTTCACAGAAGGTTCGCAATCTTTCGAATATGACTGTTCGACACTGACATCGCCAGATACCAGCTACACCGCGCTGACAAGATGGCCATTGGCAAGAGAAAGCGCCCGGCAGTAGCACCAATCATTCCGCGGGCCGACTTCCTCACTTTCGGCACCCAACTGAAGGCAGACCCAAGCAAGTTATCGCTGCTCCTCGATCTGCCCGCTGAGCTGCGCAACGCAATATACGAATTCGTCCTCGCATCCACCGGCGGAGTCCTGCTCCCTCGGTCAGCCACTCGCCGAACGCTCGCCTCGTCCTCCTCTTTGCCAAGAGTGAACAAACAGATCCGAGATGAATTCCTCGCCACCGCAATGCTGATGGCCGAAATTCATACGACTTCCGTCGACTTCTCCTTTCGCCACATCGTCGCCTTCCTGAATAGACTTTCTGAGGAAGAGCTTCGAGCGCTGCCGATTACCAAGCTACCAACACAGCGCAAGATCATCATCCACCTACACCCCGATTTGGAAAGCTCCTCGCAACCGCAGTACTTGGGGCGCTGGTTAAACCGCGTACAACATCCGACCAAGAAGGGCACAAATGTTGTCTACGAATACCGGTACTCTGGCTCGGTACCGCGTTACAGGAACTATCACCACCATGACGACTTCTCAAGAAGGCTACAGTGGTGGGAATCCGACGTCGTAAAGATGGCTCCAGGGAGAAAGAAGGACGAGTTCGGGGACATCATCGCTGCGCTGCGTGGCCCGAGGGTCGTTGGAACAGTTTGAGGCTGTCAAAGATCTCTGGAAAAGCTATGGTAAGATCTTGCTGGCTTGGATGTTGACTTATGGACTGACTAGGCGGTGAGACGTGCATCTTAGCTTGGGTCTTCAGGGAAAGTAGTGGGCCGAGGAAATAGCTAGACAAGTGACCTGAGTTGACTACAGCAAAGTATCCTCCCGAGTACAATTCATGTCTTTCAAGTACATATTAGGCAAGGCTTGTGCAATGTCCAGAGTGGGGTCACCCTTCCCAGAAGTTCCCAATCTCCCTCAAGTCCTCAAGTAAAGCTGACGGATTGTCGATCCCTGGAAAGTGACCTCCAAAATCATGATCTGTGATGTCCCGTTGTTAGCAAGTGGAGTCAATATAATAGACAAAGTTTGGCTGACTTACTCCGATACTGAACCAGGTTCCCAACTGTAGCCACCTTCTCTTTATGCCAAAAAGCGATGTTATACTTGAAAGCGCTGAACAGCATTGGGGCGTCGGTCTGTGCTTTCGCATAAACCGGGTGGAGACCATCCAACAGATTCTGGTAGTAGAGGAAAATCGACGACACAAACGACTCCGTCAAATAGTACAATGAAACTGATCGCAGGATCGCATCATGCGTGAGAAGTGATGGCCCAGTGCCAGCTCTTGGATCCGAGTCTATGTGATCATCAGCGTCAGAGAGGAAAAACTACATCTGGAAAGACGAGTGCCTACAATTGATATATTTCTCACCAATCCATGCAAGCTGTCCGACTGGGTTGTCATATAGAGCGAGTCCAATAGTGTTTGGCTATGAAGCAAGCGGTTAGCAAGAGCTAGATACTGATCGAGCCGGCGTAGGAATCCTAGTCACCTTGGTAGAATGTTCTGCGAAGTATGCGGCTCCGGTTGTGAGCCAAGCTTCTGAAGTCGCCTCCTCGAACGCTTCTAGCGAGTTCAAAGTGATATTATCACTCTTCAATTCTTCGGACGTCGCCGGGAGGAATGGTATAAAAGCAAAATGTGCAGCTCTGGTCGAGGCGGTGTAGTCACGGTAGAGACCGAACGACGGTCCACATCCCCAATCGGTCCCAAAAACAGCGAACGTCTTGTAGCCAAGGACTTTGGTCATCAGAGTGTGGTAAACCCGAGCCGTATCGTCGATTGTCCAATTCGCTGGCGGGGCGGTAGAAAATGCTAAGCCAGGGAGAGAAGGTACCACGACATTGAACGAGATCGACTTGTTAGTCGAAGTTTGCGCCTGTTCCGCGAGACTTTTGATGATCGGCTCGAACTCGAGGAATAAGCCCGGCCAGCCATGGCAGAGTATCAAGGGAATGGCATCCGGATCGGACGCCTTCTCATGTATGAAATGGATCCTCAGGCCTTCGATGTGGGCGGTGAAGTGGTTGAAACTGTTTAGAGATAAGCATGCAGAAAAACATTGACGGTAAAGTTTTGTTCGTGCACACTGACCTGTTCAGAGATGCCTGCTCTTTTGGCCAGTCAAAGCTAGTCACCCATTGCTTTTGCATCGACTTCAGCACATCGAGATCGATACCTGCCGTGGCCCCAAGATCAGGATACTCCGGTTTTTTCGGCAGTCGGGTCTGGCGGATCAAGTCTACCATACGTCGTGAATCGAGGTCGATATGGAACTTTTGGAGGTCGTACTTCTGCTGATATGGGTGGACAGTGCTGGGCAATGCCACACTCAAA